TCATCCTGATCCTGATCCTGATCCTGATCCTGATCCTGATCCTCATCCTGAGCCTCATCCTGATCCTCCCCGCTCCTCTCCTCCTCCTCCTCCTCTCCTCATCCTCCCATCCTCCACATCCTCCATCCATCCTCCTCACCTCTCCTCATCCTCCTCATCCTCCTCATCTCCTAATCCCCTCCCTCCTCCTCCTCCTCCTCCCCCTCCTCCTCCGCCTCCTCCTCCTCCTCCTCCTCTCCTCCTCCTCCCTCCTCATCCTCATCCTCATCCTCGTCCTCATCCTCATTCATCATCATCATCATCATCATCATCATCATCATCATCATCATCATCATCATCATCATCATCATCATCATCATCATCATCATCATCATCATCATCATCATCATCATCATCATCATCATCATCATCATCATCATCATCATCATCATCATCATCATCATCATCATCATCATCATCATCATCATCATCATCATCATCATCATCATCATCATCATCATCATCATCATCATCATCATCATCATCATCCTGGGCTCATCTCCCTGGGCTCCTCCTCCTCTTCCTCCTCCTCCTAGATCCTCCTCCTCCTCCTCCTCCTCCTCCTCATTGGCTCCTCGTCCTCCTCGTCCTCCTCCTCCTTCTCCTAGGCTTCCTCTTCTTCTCCTCCTCCTCTTCCGACCTGCGGCTCGCGGGAGATCGACTTCGGAGTCTGCAGTGAGCTCTTGGCGCCGTTCGTCTCCGAGGTGTCGCAGTTCGAGGCGGCGCCTGTCCAGACGCACTCTGTAGTTCGTGTGCGCTGGCAGGACCTCGGACGTGCTGCCCGCATTTGCAGGCCCCAGCTCCCGCTGAAGTTTCCGATCGAAAAGCCCCCGCCCGTGAGGCCGGCGCCCCCTGAAGCGCCGGCTTCCGAGTGGCCGTGGACGATTGGCGTAGCGCTCCCGGTAGACCTCGGCGAGGCGTGTGCTGCGTGGTTCCAGCATGCGGAAACTTACTTGGCGGAGTTTCACGATTTAAAGAGTTGGAGTCAGTCCCGTTGGCGGGGTCGTGCTGATGGGTTTCGGGCTGCCTCCGAAACCTTCGCCACGGCGTGGGGCCGCTCGGTCAAACAGCAGACCTCGGCCGAGTATCGATGCTGGGCGCGATTCTATTCGGCGGCTTTTCGCTTGTGTTCGCTTGGAGCTGCGGCCAGAGATCGACGGGAGCCCAACCTCGCGGCCCTTAGGAGGCAGAGGCAAACGTTCGTAAGCATCGATGTAGGTGCCTGGCCCTCGGAAGGACCTCTGGTGGGCTGGGCTTCTCACACCCGTCGGGACCTCCTGGACCTTCTGTCCTCGGGCCACCCCCAGAAGATTCAAGATGTTAACTCTTTCCTTGGATCTGTCAGGCTGCATC